TAGGCGAACTTGTCGGTCATACAAAAAAAGTTCGCAGACCAAACGGATGTCACAAATCTCTTAGTTTGCAGGATTGGATCTATCGCCGAGGTCTACACTTATCTTTTGGGAGGGTGTAGTATTCACGGTATCGGGCACGATTATGCAAACTATTGGACGAATGAGATCTATTTGATCTCATTTTTTCGAAAATTAAAACATACTACTTTTAAAACTCAAACTATATATCTATTATATTAAATTAAATTTTAAAAAATTATTTTCATATTCATATTTTCAAATCTATCAAAAAATTGACCGACAGAGCCATGCTCAGCTCGTGTTCGGCTCGTTTATATTTCCAGCTCAAAAAGTGTGTTCGTGTTCGGCTCATTTGCTTAACTAGACGAACACGAGCTGTTCACGAACAAAGAGTCCTTTTAACAACCCTAATTATGTAGTCATAAAACATAAGACAATAAATGTTTGACCAAGATTTAAAAATTATTATTTATATTAAACATCATTTGAATCTAATTGTATTAGATAGGGAAACTTGTTGGTCATATATAAAAGGTTCGCAGACCAAACAGATGTGAGTCTAGATTCTAGGTGGCGAGGGAGATAACGACATTGCTTATGTGTGCTTAAACGAGGGATACAAGGTTAGATTATTAGAATAGTATCACTTACCTCAAGGATCTTCAATAAGACAGAGGGAAGGACCCACGATACTATTCGTCGATTTTTTGTGGGATCGTTGCCCCCGACACTCTTAGGTTGTCAGTAGTTCTAGCACGATTAGAGTGACTAGTCTGTGGACTGTACGGCTTTACAAAATATTTATAAAAATAAAATAAATTTTTTTTTGCATGATTAAAAGAACTCTGCATAAAAAAGACTTAAACAATAATTTTTGCATGAAAAATCAAAGAATTTTTTTATGAAAATTTATAAAGGTCAACGGCTAGTCACTTGGATTGAGGTTAAGGACTGCCTTCTGTAGATTGTCGGGCTGGTAACTCTTGTTCAAGATCGGGAAGCACACAGTCTAGCTCTGAGCCCCCACTTCTGCCAATGTCTTACATTTAGTCTTGGTCTTTCATATGTGACTAAGGGTTTCTTTTGCTTGTGATTTTTACGACTCGTTTTTCTGACTTTCGCGCTGGGTTTTTCTCGCATTGTTTAATTTTCTTGAAAGTTTATTTAAATCTACTGCAAAGCACATTATGCTCACAACACTAATAACACAACAGTAGCAGATACCCAGGTATGCTTTTACAGTTTATCTACAGCATTTTACTTTACTGCATTTTACCTTTCAAGTACTTTTTATTTACCTGCAATTTGATTATTCTGCATGCAGAATCAGAACTGAAAATAAAACCAAAATCGAAACAAAAAAAAACCAAACATTGACACCAAAACTGTGAAACATAAGTCACCAATCTCAAACACTTAAACCCTGGAGCCATCGCTACAATAGGAGCTTGGAGCCAACTTTGTGGGCAGCACGACGAGGAGCTTGGAGCGAGCGACAAGAGAATCTTCTTCAGCATTATCTCTTCCTAACATAATAACAACTCATATGACTTCGAGGTAGTTTGTCCATCGCGACGTAAATCCTCACACACACACCCTCTTTAGGCACTTGTGCATCCATGTTGTGCAGTGTAAGTCCTAACCCGCCTTAGATTTTGAGGTTGTTGTGTGGCACGACGTAAACTCTCTTATCTCTGCGGGCTATTTGCATAATCGGGTATTATGCAAATGTAAGTCCCAAATAATAAAATTTGTTGGATTGAACAATTGAATAACATCATCTCTAAAAATACAGCCACACGTTAGGATAGTTTGGAATGGAAAGTCACTGAGAGTTCTCCTCAGGATCTATGACATCCCCTACCTTTTCTTTTCTTTTCTTTGGACTCCTGAAATAAATGTTCCTATTTGAGCCACTCTCACTTGTTTTTCCACGTCCTACAATGAAAAACTAAACTTTGGAATCTTGAAGACTAATACCTCTGATCATTATCGAGAGTTTTCTCAATTGACCCTA